GGGTGATGGCTCACTGTCAGGTCTCAGGAGTTGCCTGTATGCAACTTCTAGCATCTCAGAACAGTCTGGGCAGGGATGCTTGGCCATGTACTGAACTGGTGTACTAATTAATGAGAACATGTGCTGGAGGAGAGTTGTGTCCTGGACCTCTCTGGTTGGAGAATAAATTTTTGACACGGACACAAGTATGGCGTTATTTTACTGCTAGTGGCACATGCACTTTTCTGAGTCCACTGGTTTACGAATGAAAGAGAAACAAAACCAGTATCAAAGGATGCTCTTCAGGAGGGACCACCACGCTGGCTAATATTTATGTTCAGTTGTAATTGTTAGCAATTACACATCAAAGTAGGAAAGGGGGAAGTTAAATACCATCTTATAAGATGTGCTGTAGGTGTTGCTCAGAGCTCTGTGGAAACCCTTTCTTCTTACAGTCTGGAGAACGTTTTTTTCTTCATCATGCCAGAAGGCTGAAATTAAAATCCCACTTCAGTTGGATTTTGAGTTACTCTTCAGAAACAACAGTGAGATTAAAGGCATTTCACACATGACTGCAGAGTATGGGTAGATCAGGAAACACTTTTAGGTGGGATTTTCAAAGCCGTCTAAGGAATGAAGGTGACTTAAGTGACCTGTGAGAAGCATGTGACTAGTTCCCTGTTCATCATCTGTGTTGATAAGTGCTTTTAGCCTGGATGTGACTGTGCATTGTGTCATTAGTGACGGCCAGCTCTCCTGACTTAAATAAGGTCTATCTGTCTAAGCATGTTTTGGCAGTCCAATGGCAGGTGCTCTAAGGGCTTATTCTGGCCTCTCACTGCAGGTTAGCAATTGCACCTTCTCAGACCCCTATTGACACAGCTCTGCTGACAGAAACCAGAGTCACAGGTCTGGTGACAGCTCACTGGGACCTACAAACTCGCCATTCTTCTTGGGTATGCTATTAAGTTACTCAATGTACGTGACAGATGTATCAGTGTAAAGCATTAAAGTAACATTTATGTCATTGTTTAATAGAATTGTTTAATATAGGGCTGTGTATAGAAATCACAGGAGTTGAGCGTAACATGACGATAATTAAACCACATTCAAAAGGGGCAGAAGAGAGGAACGATGAACTTGATGTGATTTCTTTATACAGAATAGCATATCTGAGAAGTATAATCCCGAGTTGAACATGGAAGGCTCAATTAAAGTCTCTTGCTGTTCTCTCTATGATGAGGTTGGGGGACACACAACAAAACAATGGCCCTGTCAAACTACCTGCAGGATTAGCTGCCTTCTGCATCAAGGTCTTACTTTACCAGCCTTCCCCTCGGGATATATTAATGCTGTAAGAACTGCTGTGAATAGAATATACACACATAGCCTTGGTTTTAAGTAACTCATTTGAGGTCTTGTGGTACCCTAGCCTCAGCTGTTCAGTGCTCACCGTAGACTGCAAAATACATCTTAGAAGTAAGGGCAAGCTGAGCTCCATAACTGCTACCTGTGTCTAAGCTGGCTGGTTTATAGCTGTCCTGTGTATGGCTACCACACAACTGCTGTGATAATTAATACCTGAGCAGCAACAGTAGCATAAACAAACTCTAGGAAGAGATTTGGTTTGGCTGGGGAGTTACTCTTGTGATAAGACTTCCTTCTCCTGCAGATAGATGAAGGAGGGTGCCTGGTGTCCAACAGGAGCCTTTCAAAACTGTCACCACTCCTGTCATTTCTCAGATGCTAGTGTGAGCACATGATGTTACAAAGACTCTGGCTCCTGAGGGAAAGATAAAGTAGCATAGCTTAATAACTTCTCTCCCCTCCTCCCCTTTTTTTATTTCAACTTTCAAAGGTTTGGGTTTTTTTTTTGGAAGAGAAAAATAAAGTGATCTGGGGCTCGGTTCCCACTTCTGCTCTTCCTGTGTGACTGTGGATGGTAGGTTGTGCTTTTCTGTACCTCAGTTTACTCTCTATTAAATTAGAATAGACCCAATTTTAAAATAATTTGTGTAATTGTGCCAACTGAGTATAGAGACAAGGTCTGCAGACATAAGGCTACCAGAAGATACGGGAAATTGCAGAGGCCATTTTTGAAAGATGCCAGTGTCAGCCAGCCAGGTCTGTGAGTTTAGGTGCCTTACCTAATTAAATGTTTTAGAAAATCTAATTGGGAACCAGGCTGCAGAGTGCCTAAATGCCATGGAGATTGTAGCTCTAGGATCTTTTGTGTCCAAAAAGATTTTAAAATGAGGACTTGTATTCGTTATTTGCTGAACAGATTTTTAAAATGCTACGAAGTCATAATGTTTCTGTTGTTGTTTGTCTGTTTTGTCTAATTAGGCTCTAGCAGAACAATTGCAATCTCTTTTACTTTGTGTTTGTGCTGTGCCGGATAGACAGCCCTGAATTTAGTTCTCCTGTAGATGCTAGTTCAATAAAAATAACAATACTTTTACTAATGAGAATAACTATGTGAAGCCAGGATTCGTGCTAAATTAGTATCCATTAGTGACTTAGATCTATAATGAAGGCTTCCCTGCTCTCTGTTGTGTGTCTCAATTCATTACAAAGCAGTCCATAATATTTTATTAACAACACTTATTTTTTTTCTGGAACCGTTGCCCAAAACTATTGGAAGAATATGTGCTTTCCCGTAACATCAGAATGAGACAAATGGCACTGCTTGCTTTTATGATTGTACAGAAGTGTCTTTCCTTTGGACTCAGACAGACTTGTAAATGGCAAGTAGCTGGAGACTAATGGAGCACATGCTTCAAGCTTTCCATCTGGTCCCTTGGTGAGCAAAAAGAATATATTGTCTATGTTCTAATCAGTCCTCATTATAAAGAAAAGTACTCCCGCTCCAAGTTCCTGGAGAAACTCTTACCTTTACTCAGAGAGGGAGAGGGCAACAAGTACTATCCTCTTTTATGCATCTGTGGGAGAAAAGTGAATGGAATAAAAAGAAAAAATGAGGCAGAGTAATTTTGCGCTCTGAAACTGGATAATGCACCTGCCAACAGGTATTTATTCTGGTGGCCTTCAGTGACATTTTCTAGTGACAGCAGCAGAGAGGCTAAAATTGTTTCAAGGAGACTCTGTACATACCAGTTGAGTGAGAGAACTATATTACTTGGCATGCGAGCAAAACTACTTAAATTAAGATCCCTTTTCTAATTTGTTACATCGGAATCTTCCTCAGAGCTCCTTCTTCAGTCATCCCATCTAATAGCACCTATTTATTCATTTATTTGTTTTATTTCTTCACAACATTGAGGAAGAAAAAGGAAGGCAATACTCCTCCCCAATGGAGGCCATCTGTTCTTTTCTTATTGGGGGGAAAAAAACACCCTACAATTAGTGCCTTGTTCATCTTTTCGTTTTAACAAAAAAAGAGAGGGGGAGAGAGAGAGAGAACTATTATGCAAATACTCTGCAATTTGGTTTCAAATATTCTTTGTACTATGATGAGCAATTTCCTTTAATACAAACTCAGCCTACTTGCCAGGACGTTTTTTTTTGCTTTACTATAGGGAAGGAAAAAAAACTTTTATGAGTTGAGGGGTGTGCTATGTTCCTCCGATGCCAACTTTTTCTCATCCTTTTTTTCTTTGTTTCTTTGGCACTATTACAGCTGATATTCTTTAACTTGTCAGCAAGATGTTGTATAGGTTTTTTGAGAAAGAAAGAGAACAAAAATAGCTTCACAAAGCCACAGTTCCATCTCACTTTTCATTGTTCCATTGCCTTGATGAACTAGTCTTGAAATGGAGAACTCAGCTTAATGAATGAGAGAAAAGTTTTCTCCCTGCCTTTTTTGAATGCCAGTTGCTTGTGGTAGCAGCATTACCTCTAAGAGCAGATACATAGGTTTTTTATAAGGAGCTCCAGTGCTACTTGTCAGTGGTATGTACTTTAGGGCCAAATAGTGTAACCAAAATCAAGTCCTTCTGGTCCTTCATGTTGGACAACCTAGCTACCTAGCTGAAAACCTCTGAAAACTTATGATCGGGAAAAGACAAATAAAGTGTAGAAGAAAGCAAGGAATATTATTTCATGGTTGTGGGGTGGGAAGCTGAGCCATGGAAAAAACAATGTAACTCACCCAAGATCTGTTGGTGGAGGACTTTAGAAGAATCAGGAGCTGAGCTAAGAGGCTCAGATTTAGAAAGCTGCTGTGTTGTGTAGTGGTCTGCATGTGGCAACATCAGGAGACAGGCAGGACTGCTCCTGCAGATGGGCTACTACTGTGCCATCATGACCGCTAGTTTAGGCTATTGCTGTACAACAGTCACAGAGAGGGCAGCACGGTCATATCCTAATGGCTTAACAAATCTGCTGACTTTCAGTAGGATGTATGAGAATCAGACACATTTGAAAAGCCCACGCTGAACCTCCTGATTCTTAACCCTTTGCAGGCTGAACTTTGGGAAAGCTTCAATTAACATATAAATGTTACATGCTTAAGCTTGTAAAATACTAAGCATAAAATCTCTAGTCCAGTAAGGGATTAAGCACAACTTAATAAAATATCATGCCAAATGAGGCCTAACTGGCCATCTAACTATACACAAGTGGCATAGTTTGCTTTCATTAAAAAAAAAAGCTGATGCCCAATGGATTGACCACAAATTGGGAAAATATATTCAAGAAACAAAATTAAGGGAAGTAATACAAGACCAATGAGACCTTTAAGTTAAGTCAGGTGTCATACATATTTGCTTCTGTGGCTTTAACAGGACAGGGAATACAGGGCAGTTCAAAATCTCTGATATGAGCCTTCACTGGATCTGTTCAGATAGTCTGACCTCTTGCTTGGGGCTTGTTACATCAAGCATACATTACGTCAGACTGGATTTTGCCCTGGTATGCCTGGCACTGGATAGACAACACAGGAATTCATGGTACTTAGGGCACACTGGTTCCTTTTAGATGCTCTTTGGGAAATGGGAAATCTTCTATGCATAGAGCCTTTAAACACACTGGAGTAAGTGGGTTACTTTTTGTTGTTACAGGAAGCTCTTATCATGGCCAGCATGGACCACCCACACCTGGTGAGACTCCTGGGTGTCTGCCTGAGCCCGACCATTCAGCTAGTCACTCAGCTGATGCCTCACGGCTGCCTGTTGGATTACGTTCATGAACATAAGGATAATATTGGTTCCCAGCTTCTGCTAAACTGGTGTGTCCAAATAGCAAAGGTATGTAGTTCATGCTGTTCTTTTTCTGTCATTTTCATAACTAACTGAAAAATATGCTATGCAAAAAAAAAGATGGGGTTTTTGTTTGGTTGTGGGGTTTTTTTCAGGTGTGTTTTTGTTTTCAAGAAGCTTGGGTGGTTCTTGAAATACGTGCTATTTTGGCTGCTTACAGTATAATAGATTACATGTTAATATGTAAATAAAACTGTTTTTCTTGACTGTCTTTCCAATTCAGTGTTAATGGGGGGGTCTTTCAGGGAGAAAGGTGGTGGAAGGAGCCCCCTGTGTGACATCTGGGGCTGAGCACAGAATGATTTTTCAGTCTCTACTGGTTGCTGTTCATAGATACTGATTTAACCTGATTGTAGATTTCAACTTTGCTGAATCTGCATTGCCAGTTAAATTCTTATATGCCATCCGTTGTCTGCCCCCACACTGCCAAAAAAATAAATACTCACTTCATGTGACTCCTTTGGGAACCACCGTGGTTCTGCTGTGTTTAAGACCTATCACAACAGCTGAGGCTGGAGGGTAATACTGCTCGTCTCTGCAGAATGGGAAATCTCAAGGGGTGGATCCTGCTTTGCTTGCCATGGTGTAATGCTCTCTGCCTTCCTGTGGGGTTTTAGGAGCAAGAGTGAAGACATTATTGTTCAGATAACAGCCTGTACTTCAGCTGAGGTGATCATAAATGCACCGCTAATGTAATCCTTGCACTATGTTTTAGGTATGTTTAGGAATTCAGTGTTGTACTAACACCAAATTATTGATAATCAATGCAAAGAGTAACAAGATCTGGGAGTGTGAAGGGGGGCCACAGCTTTTATCCATTTTAAAGGCTCTTGCAACCAGAGTAGTATACAATGATGTTACTACAAATGAGAATCTGGAATCCGCTTTTCATTTAGAGCTATTTAGAAGTTACTTAAAGTTCTGGATTAATTTGTTGAAAATGCTTGTTATGTACAAATGTGTGCCACAGGCTGCCCTCTTATATTAAGCCCACAGCCTTAAGTGAATTTGCCACAACGTGTATTATGAAACCTTAATTCAAGTTGTAATGTTAAACTTTTAGCACTGGAGAGAAACCCTGAGATTGAGCAATTGTTTTGCTGGACCAAATAGCAGCCATAAAGTAAACATTCACTTCTTTCAAAAAAAACTGGAATGCAAAATACTTCCTTACAAAAGAAAACCGAGAAATTCAGTTAGCCCTGAGTTTTTCTCCAAAGAGAGGAGGAGTTTGAGGTTCATCATTAGTGGGGACTATTTTCTTTCCAGGATCAGATCTGTTGTCAAACCTGCCGGAAGATGACAGTAGATGAAATGACCATAATGCTGGGCAGAGGGGTTGATTCATGGAAGGAGTGGGGGGAATCCCAAACCCACATTCAGATGTTGCAGCATTTTGTAGCCATGTTAATGCCTGTGAATCTGCTGTGTTGTGGTGGTAAAGCAGCCGGAGTTGCATGGAATATTGGAATGCTCTGATGGGGATTGCCTGTATCTGGAGATTTGCAAGGGTTTATATAGTGCTGTCATCAGACCAAGGAAGGTGGGGGAAGAAAACACATATTCCTGTTTGAGTCTTTTCTTTCAACACAACCTCCTTGCCATCTGTTCTCCACTCTCTTGATTGATAGTGACCATTATTATTTATTACAAAACATGTACACAGTGGCATATGTGAAAAGATAATCCACCTTTATTTTTGGTTTGTGCATGTATATGGCTATTGACTCATTGGACTAATAGCTGTGCTTGCTTTACTATGGACTTTATGCGGGCAGCTGATTTAGTGAAGCAAATAGCCTGATCCATAGCAGAGGCTTACAGAGCTGACAGATCCGTGGGAGGGTCAGTGGAAGGCAGGTCATGGTTTTCCCATGGTGATTCTTACCAAAGCAAAGCGGGTTCTAAACTGATGTCCATTATAAATGGTTTCAGCATAAAGTGGGGATTGGATTTAGCTACAGTCATTTGAGTGCCAGTTTTCTTGATCACCATGTGATGTGGGAGGAGAAGATGAGGTATTACAGATATTTGGGTTCTGAAATGGTGGGTAACCAAGCAGTGCAAAGAAGTGAGATCATACACGTAATATTAACTGATGAAGCATCAACTAGGAAGAGTAACAGAGTTTCTTTATAACAGAAGGTGGCCTGTTATTGAGGGGAGGTTTAGTGAAGTTTAGTTAGTTTATCAAAGTTTAATTAAATTAATCTTCTTCTGCAGCACAATAATCTTGAGGATAATTTTGCCTTGGCCTCACATTAGACCATGAAGCTTGTCCACTTGGCTACCCATAAAGGGGACAGCAGCAAGCGACCGTTTTCTTGGAAGAAGTGCAGTACATATGGCTGCCCTGTTAACTCTGGGCCATCGCAGTTTGTCTGGATTATTTTCTCCTCTGTTTCTTCATATGTCGCTTTCCCTTCTCTTATTTTGACTGCCATGGTTGGTACTCAGCATAGAGAGAATCAGTACGCATCTGACAGAGTTCTGCATTATGCTGCTGTTGCATGTGTATCCGTGGTATTTAGTAAGAGATGGCATGTTGTAGTTGAGAAGGTCACCACAGGTACTGACTACTTGCACATCGTGCCAGTATGTTGCAATCCTATTGCAGAAGTAGACTCCAAAGAATTAAAATGTACCTTTAACTCTGTATTTTCTTCTTGTCTTTTGAGAACTTGAATGACAGTTGTGTCTTGAAAATATTCCCTGTCAGGTTGCATCTATGCACAAAGATACATATCTTAATTATTATATAGGAGGCTATCAGTGAAGCGAGGAAAGAGTTAGGGGCACATGAGGCTGTGCACACCACATAATGTGTAAGAGTAATGCAAATATCACACAGAATTTTCTGTGTTGCATTGTGCTTTCTGATGGCATACAAGAATGCCTGTTCCCTTGCTATCTCTCAAACTGTAATGTTGATTGGGGTTAGATGATGTACACAGGAAAATGTGTCAGAACTGGTAGGAAGATTAATCTTTGAGATCACCAGAGAAGGAGTCCCCTTATCCCAAAAAGTGGAATAAATGTGCTAGTCCCCTGCTAGCAGCAGGGGAGTAGTAATACTTGTTTTCCAGTCATCTGTCACATTTAACAGTAACTAGGAATCAGTCTGCAGCCTGCAAATAGGAAAGATTCAATTTGCCTACAAATAGACTGGTCTCCAGAGGAATGAATGCGGAAGGTGGCTATTGCATCAAGCATAAGTTTCCATTCGCAGCGGGAACGGTCTGTGTATCCCATGAACCTGTATCCACTGTGCTCATGTTTCAGGCTTTGCGTATGGCAAAGCGTAGGGCTTGAGAATGTCTGTCCACATCTTGCATTTTTAGACTTCTGTGAGTGATTGGTTGTGTCTTTCTGAACACTACTAAAAATGTGATTAGCAATGTAATAAGAGGCAAAAATTATCTGTTCCCTGAAGTAGCTTCTGGTATCTTTTTTTAGATACATCTTTCTACCCTCACCTTCCCTCTTTTTATGGTGAGAATTTTCCCCAACAAGAAGAGAACTGAAGGAATTGGAAATGCCTCGATTTTGAAGTTCAGGCTGATTTTTATGAATTGCTTAAAATCAAGTTGCTGCTGCAATACAGTTCCTCCCTACTGCGCTTTTCTCCATCTGCCAATGTGCAGGCATTTATTTATCGAAGTCATTGCTTCAGAGTTCACTTGTTCTGCCAGGCTGTTCATTTCCATATGTCTCTACTTCTGTACAACTAGATGCAAAAAACTAGTTAGGCACTATGCCTGGTTGCCAACCTGCATATCGCTCTGGAGATCGTTTCCAAAGGTTGACAATAGGGCAGTTATTAAATATTATCTACTGCCAATTGAAAAAAAGCTTGGATGCTTTTTCTTTTTGCTTATACAGATTGTGTTGAATTTATTTTGACTGTTATATCACTGTGGGATAATTGTGTTCTCTTTCCAGAAGCTTTAGCTTCTTATTTTCTGGATGAAAGTTATAAAAATAGAGTAGCCCCCAAGCGTTCTGCATAAAATGTAGTTGTTACACAGCGGCTCTGTCTAAGGGGGTTCTTCCCTTCTGCTTTGCAGATACATGAGGCACCTCCTTGTGTCTCACTTCTGTGTGTAGTGTCTTGCTTAGGGGCTGAATGTTTAACCTTTTAGCTCTGAGTTCAGCTCACCAATTTTATGTGGAGTTTGATGTCCAGTAAAACAGCAAATTATGCTCACATGTCAAGATACTTCCTAGACTGGGAACAAGAGTGACAACCTTGGTGGCCCTAGGGTATGGAAGGATGGAATAATGCTTCATGAATGTCCATAGTGTGGGCTCCTTGAAAAACGGGTTGAGAATCAAATTTTGTAAGATTAGCATGAGCCTGGAAGTGAATTCTAGCCTAGGTGAATTACGTCCTTGTCAGCCAGCGCATGACAGGTACATGTAAACTAAGAAGATCTAACAACAACAAAAAAAGGTACTGTGTGCATTGATATTTTAATGTGTGTGATACAATTTCTCTGTTGGAACAATGGTGGTGAGGACATTCCTACAGAAATGCATTTCAAGAAGAGAAGAAACATCTTGAGGTTTCTAGTCAGAAAGAATTAGTTACACTCTGCCACTAGGTGAGTAGGTAGTGGAAAACTAGTCTGAGTCCTTTTGGAATTATTTGTGCTGTGCTAGGCCCTGTCTCTCTCAAGGGTATATAGAAATGCATTTTTGCTTCTGTAACTTTGCATACAACACTTGCTAAATTCAGCATAGAAGTTCAACCCAGGCAGCCCCACCTACTGTTTTACTGTTTTTTCTGGTACAATTATGGTTTCATTCTGCTGCTGTTGATTGGCATTACATCTGCACCGATTTTGTTGAGCAGTGTTTGAATGCAGAGGAACTTTTCCTGCCCCGAAGAAGACAAGGCAGAGGAAGAGTGAGAAAGGAAGCAATCTTCCTAAAATAAAACAGCTTGCCTTCAATCACTTAGCCTGTGGAGATCTCAGCTCTCCTGG